ACCATTCGGAATTTACGTCAGTTACTTTATCTGCGATTATAATCTATGAGACTGAAATAGCATACCAAATACCCAATACTATTTTTGATTCCGATTTTGGAAATTAATCTAGTCAAACATTAATTGTTGTAGATTAGGATCCGCTTAAGCGCATAAAAATCAAATTGGATAGTTGTTTTCATACAAAATGTTTTCGGTCTCAATTCCCTCTTTAGCAATCAATTTGCTAGTTGTGTTATCATGAAGTCGAATGTGCTTTCTATAAGTTGATAATTCCTCCCACATATATATAATCGCGATAATAATCCGAGATCAAAGTCTATCTTTAGTTTTGAAAAATTGTTTTGATTTTATAAAATAGGTGCAGAGAATGAGAGAAAAATTCTGAAGTTACTGAAGTGATATTCAATTCTCTCGTTAGAATTGAGTATTCGCTTTTACCCGCAGTTTAAAAAAGAAATTAGCTAAACATGAAAAAAGTCGTACTTAGCATTTTAAAAACAAAAGTTTGAAACTAAAAATAACAAAGTAAAAGAAAGTAATTTTATAAAACTAAAAAAAAGAATAAGAAAGAATTGTTTCAGAATTAGATATATAAAAAATGGCTTACTTGATGTGGATATTTATAGTATTCTAAAACCCTATAAATACTAAAGATAATCTTAAAAAAATACAAAAGATGATTATTTAAATTTAAATTCTAAAAATAAAAAGATAAATCCTAAATCTTGAATTTGAATGTGCTTGAAATGCTCAGCCGTTCACTACTAACTCACATGTCAGCTATTCATACCTAAATTCATGCCCACTCTTCCAATCTTGATTTTAGAACAAAAAAATGTTGTTTTCGGCCATTTTAAGCACATATTTTAGAAGTCTTTGTCCTCCACAAAAAACACATAAGAACGTCCAATTTAATAATAAACATAAAAAAATTAAAGAATATTTAAGCACAAAATGTAGCGCAAAATAAAAAAAAAACAGATGATAAATCATTTTATAAGAATTTAATATTTTTACTAATTGTTTTAAAATTAAAAAGTAATAATTAAGTATTTACATAATTTTTAATATCTTTTTATATTTGTTCACACCCACATATAATAAAAGGAACAAATGGAAGAGGATAAGTGCAATTTGGAGAGAGAGTGGGTCCATATGGGAAAGCTGAAATCAGGCTTTCGAGCAACAAAAATAAAAAAGCAAATAAATTGTCGGTGAATTATAGCGTTTTCATTTTATTGATAATCTGCCAAGCCAAGTTATGAGCAAACCAAAGCCAAAAACCTTAAAACCTTGAACTAAAAGCTATATCCTAAGTTTTGTGTAGCACTTTCCCTTCCTTCCTTTGTCTTGTAATTCTCTCCTGTAATTTTTGCAGCTTCTACTTTATATAGACAGTATCGAGGTGAATTGGTATATTTGTTCACTGATCAGAATTAGAAAAAGAAATGAACGGTCGTGATGCTTACGGTATGATGGAGGCGCAGTACATACGGAGACATCACCGGCACGCCATCAGAGACGACCAGTGCTCCTCTGCTCTGGTCAAACATGTCAAAGCTCCTGTTAATCTCGTATGTTTTTGCCTCTATGCATTTTCAAATCTTCATCATATTTTTCTCCCCCGGATCTGCTAAATTTATGTTCATGTCTGAAATTTTTAAGAAATAAATGAATAAACCTAGGAGTGTTTTTTTAAAGAAAAGGCAACTACTTAAGTACTGTTATTTTTTTTAAATAATGATTTTATTGCAAGTAATAATAGTGGTTATGGATTTGATTATGTTATGAAAGGTATGGTCGTTGGTAAGGCGTTTTGATCAGCCGCAGAAGTACAAGCCGTTTGTGAGCAGGTGCATAATGAAAGGGGACCTCGGAATTGGTAGTCTTAGAGAAGTCAACGTTAAATCCGGCCTTCCGGCCACCACCAGCACCGAACGATTAGAGCTTCTTGATGACGAAGAGCACATTCTCGGCATCAAAATAGTCGGCGGCGACCACCGTCTCAGGGTAAAAACTATATAGCAATTATTCTTTCTCCTTTTTACTTCATTCCCCCCCCCTGTCGTTTCAACTCGAAAGAATAAAAAAAGAGGTACGGATTTTGTTGACTTTTTTTTATGGCAGAATTATTCTTCAATCATAACGGTTCATCCGGAGGTTATCGAAGGAAGGCCGGGAACAATGGTGATAGAATCATTCGTCGTCGATGTGCCGGAAGGGAACACCCAGGACGAAACTTGCTACTTCGTAGAGGCTCTTATCCGATGTAATCTCAAGTCATTAGCCGACGTTTCGGAGGGGATGGCCGTGTTGGACCAAACGGAGCCTATCAACGGATACTAATTCATAAATTGACGACCACTAGCTTCTATGGACAGAGACATGTAACAACATGGGGTTCTCTTTTTTTTTTGTTCACTGTTAATGTTTTATGGTGATCTGGGTTTTGTCCAGTGTTGGTAATGTACGTTATTATGGTGTTATATATGTAAATATCTATGTAATATAAGAAGCAATGGAGGCTTTCATCATTATAAGTAACAGTTCTGCTCTTTTGTCTTTGTTTTGTACAAGTAGCTGTGTTTTTCTTCTTTTTAGGGTGAACCATAAAAGTATTTTTTTTTAGTTTAAGTGTAATTGTTTAGTTCTCGGCTGTTGAATTCGAGTGCAGTGAGTGCGGGTACAATAAGCAAACGGGGATCACATTTTGAGTCATAAAAGTTGCAGAAACCAGTATGCTAACTCAAAGATCTTTTGTGACGATTTCTTACTAAGTTTTTAAAGAAATTTAGACCTACCACGCTAGAAAAGTTTCTCCAGTTTAACCAATCACTCAATCTTTGCTGACGTGAACTTCCAACACGTTACTAAGTTAAACTATGTTTTGTTTTTCCATTCAAGACAGCATAGCTTCTAGATAATATTTGTTAAAGAATTGTCCAATATGATTATGCTTCCATTGCCAATCTAAAAGAATGACCTTTCAGGTTGACATATTTTTCTGGACAAAGTGGTGGTTTTCCAGCTACCATTGACCTTGCATGACGGTTTCATAGAGTAGAAGATACTGGAAGACATTAACAAAATTTCATGCAATTAACAAAGATTGAATGTTCTGTTATATTATTGTCAAAATTTCCCGCCATTTGTTTGCCTTCTAAGCTTCAATTCTTAAGTGAAATAAGATGCTTCTTTGGTCCTCTTTGTCTTGAAGTTCTCTCCCCAGCCTCTTACTAACAGGATTCGAATTGGTTGTTTGAAGATAGTAAAGGTGCAAAATGGTCCTAAACAGAACAAGTGTTTCGGAAATGCTGTGACTCCACATGACAGAGACACCCATGACCGATGGTTTAAGGTGGCAGCTATGGTTCCTGTAAAAACAGTTGGAGTCTTGGAGATGTCATCCAACGGTACACAGAAATGGAGGAGGATGCAAGTGACATAGGGGCCGGGTTGATAACTTGATTTCAGTTAGGACAACGACTCCGGGCGGTTCCAAAAATTTAAAAATGAAGTTTTAAAAAAAATTAATATGCAATTCTTCTTATTTGTTTTAACACTAATCTAAATCTAATAACATTTTTAAAACAATAAGTATGCAATTATTCTCTTGGGGATTTAATGCATCTGCCCTTACCACTATCATTAGTGAAAACTCAACTCTTTATTCAGGAAAATGATGACATGCGTTGTTACTTTATTGACGGATATTGATTTATGAAAGAAAATATCACGTAGACATGTTTCATCAGCAATCGAAAATAGTGGCGGAAGGTAATGACCTCAATGAAAGCGAATTAAAGAATCAATGACTTAAATGTAAATTTTAAAAGTTCAATAACTAAATTGAGTGTTTTAGAAGTTCAAGGACTAAAGTATGATTTACGCTAAGCTTTACAGCGTCGAAAACAGTAATTCAATTTCAAATCCTGACAGGAACAAAAAAAAAAGTCCTAATAGCCGTAAAATTTATCTTGCAATAAATAAAAAGGAACATCTACCAAAAAGATTGAATTACACAAGTAATGGTGTGGGATATTGTAATTTAGCAACAATTCTTTTTCTCTCAGCACTATAGCTCTGCAACAGTTGGTTGGAACAGCTTTCGTCTGCATTCAACATTGTTCAGATGTTGGGCATACATATTTCACATTGCCTGCAATTCCCAGTACACACAAGTTAGCTGTTAATTGTTGAAGGTGCATATATTGAATTACGGGTATCAGTGGGCAGTGTAAGTTAGCTCGGATTGGGTGTATATGTCGATGAAGTGGTAAAAGTGGATCAACAGCAAAAAATGAGAATGATCACTCAATCTTCAAAATCTCATAAAGTTGATCTATCAAAATAATACTTCAAAAGGATCTTTTCCAAAGCTGCCATCCCAAGGTTCACCCTTTCAATGATTGTTAATCAGAAACTAATTGGATCAGCTTAGTTAGCTGTCTGCTCTCTCCACAAACATGCCATGCCCAGAGAAAACGGCACAACTTTTGAGGAAAGAAATGAACCTCTGTAGTATTTGACCAATACATGGACTTTGTTTTAGATTTGGATTAAGTTAATTGGACTCAACCTCACTGGAATCCTAATGCCATCAATTAATATTTTCACAAAGATTAAAGCAGCAGCTACTGATATTAGATACTAATTATGTCCCAATTAATTCATATATTGAGAATGAAAAATGTTGTATAGGGAAGATAAATGGCAGTGCTGCCATCTTAGATGGTGGTGCCATGAAGCAGAGACAAGACTTAGACACGTGTGTGGGTTGCTTACGGCTTTAACACAGACAACTACAAGTCAACCCCATTTATATTTGTTTGTTTGGTAGGACCTGTCGTTCGTTGCTTTTGTTCCCCCCAAAGGGAAAGCCTTGAACCTCATCTCTCAATGCCCCATCCCAATTTTTTTATATTATAAATTTCCCTTTTCAGAGGTAACTATTAATTGCCCATTCTCATCATTTCCATTAACCTCACCAATTCTACAAAGGGCTAAAACAGATGGACAAACAGAAGCAAGCCAAGACCAATAGCTGCTGTTCTCAGGGTACATGCAATACAGTACAACTTTATGGTTCCATTTTGTAATATACTTTTCTGGGTTTGGTTTATTGATGTTCTTTTATGACAGAGGTGAGCAGCATTGAATGGGAGTTCATAAACATGTCTGAACAAGAAGAAGATCTCATTTATAGAATGTATAAACTCGTCGGAGACAAGTAAGGGCAGGCTGCCCATCTTTCTTTAATTATTTTTCTAAAACATTAACGATAGCAAATGTGACATTACTGCAACAGGTGGGGGTTGATTGCCGGAAGGATCCCCGGTCGGAAAGCCGAAGAAATAGAAAGGTTTTGGATAATGAGACATGGAGAAGTGTTTGCAAAGAGGCGAAGAGAGCTGAAGAATTCTTCTTCCTCTTCTTGAGAAAACGCCATGCATTTCTTAATATAACTTTATTAGGGGCTTATCTTATCCTGTTTTTTTGTTGTCTCGTCATGTTCTATTCCTTCTCTTTAAGGCTTGAGATTGCCTGTTTTTGTTGAGATGGAAAATGGAAGAAGGTAGTTGTTGCAGTTTTAATCTAATCCGCAACCTAATTTAAGGATAAGGAACATCTGATAAGAGACTTTAACTAAAATATTATAGAAAACATATCATTTTCGATTAGACACGATCTAAATTATTAGTTTTTCGTTAATATTTTTTTATTGTACATTTTATTTTCGATTTAATAAAATTTTTAAAAATTAACATTTCAAATTATTATCAACCGAAAATATTATAATTTTTATAACATTACCGCTTTATATCATTCCTTTACGTGAAATTAAACTTTTCTTGTGTCCGCTGCTTTTAAAACGGAACTAGAAATTGTTAATTTTTCAATTTGTTTGCTTGCTTTAGTTTGGAGGTGGGTCCTACTATATAGATTGGATTTTAACTTAAAATATTATATTATATAGTTAATAATAATTTTAATTATAATAAAATGTTATATTACAAATAATTTTAACTTAAAATGTTATTTGTTTACTCTAAAAAGTTACTTATTATTAACAATTTCAATTATAACCAAGAATGTTACGACGCTAACTTTTAGTTTCAAACTAAAATATAATCCAATTCATTCTAAAAGTTATACTCTTTATAAAATTTTAAATTATAACATTTTCTAATTTTATATTAACTGATTTTATTTTATACCATCTATTATCATCCGCTTAACACATAATGATCATCCCTTCTAATTTTGTTTTTTTCCCTTTCTAAAAGGATTACACTCTTGATTTCCTTTCTAGAATTTATGCATGATGTTGTTTCACACCAACTTTTTTGAATAATAGTCAATAGCTGGGAACATTACAAATTCTATATTATAGGATTGGATGATTATTCCGAATTTTATTATATGATTGGATTTCCGAAAATAGCCTAAAAGAATCTTGTTTCAACAACCCTCAACTACATATTTAGAATCCCCCAAGGAATTGCATGTGAACTCGTGTGAAATAGTAAATAATAACGAAAGGACCTAGGGAAATGGACAATGATGATAGGATGATTGTTGGGTTGAAGTTTGTTAAAACTTGGCAGAATACTTACTCTTTTTCTTTTATTTCACACTAGATAAAAATTACATCTACAGTAACAATCATATTTGTGCAGTTTACATAACAAGTTAACCTTTTAACTCTGGTAGTTACAAGCTGATAAAAAATAAGTAACTAACAAACTTTTAACTATTTCTAGCACTCTCCCTCAAGTTGGGGGTTAAAAGAAGTTGACGGATAAAGCACATTTTAACCCCCAACTTAAAAATAAGGCGATTATATTGCTCTGGGCCTAAAGTCTTTGTGAAGATATCAGTTTGTTGTCATGCAGAGGTGATAAATTCAATGTTGATAAAATCTTGTATCTTTTCTCTGATAAATTGGTTGTCAATCTCAATGTGTTTTGTTCGCTCTTGATAAATTGAGTTAGCAACTATTTGTATCGTTGTTTTATTGTCACAAAACAGTTTAATCAGTTGTTTCTTTTTAAAACCAACCTTAGACAACAAACCATTTAGCCAAACTAGCTCTGTTGAAGTTACAACCATGCTTTTATACTCGGTCTTGGTAGATAATCTAACCACCGTGTTTTTTTTCCGATTTCCACAAAATCAAGGAATTCCCAAGCTTAACATAGAAACCAGAAATTGCCCTTCCAAAAAAATGTACCTCATAAGCAATCCCTCAAATTAGCGCACGATAGTGTCTTTCTCTGAGTGTACGTTAGCAGGCCTAACGGAATCGGGAAATTCCATCGTGTCTTCGGTGACCCTTTCGTTCTCGCAACCTGTTTTAAAGTCTCTTTTCTTCCAAATCTCTTCTTTCATTTAGATGGACTGGAGGAAACTTTTCGAGAGTTCATCAAGCCAATCCCTAAATTTTCATCCCCCCTCAATCAAAGACAGTATTCCAACAATCAACCCCCCTCAGAGATCATAGAAGCCAGAATTTCCGAATGGAAATTATCTTTAGTGTGGCAGTTCCTCGAGCCAACACCAAATTTTACAACGATGCAACGGATTGTGGACTCTCTGTGGACAAAAGCTTTGCAAGGTTCACGAGTTCAGGTGAGTTTAGCCGGGAATAATCTTTACATCTTTTCTTTTGCATCTGAATCAGCTAGGGATTGGGTTATTGAAAATGGCCCCTGGCACATACTCAATAAACCCCTTATTCTTTGAAAATAGGAACCTTTTCTTAAACGTCTGCATTTTGATTTAGCTAAAATACCTATCGGGGTTTATCTCTACAATGTCCCTTTATAACTTTAATCCCAAGCTGGTCTAAGTTACATAGCAAGTGGTATCGGTGTTCCTATATTGATGGATTCTGTAACAACTTCCAAGACTAGACTTGAATTTGCAAAGATCTGTGTGGAAATTAGTGTTGATGATTACATTCCAAAATCTATTGATGTTATTCTTAAAGATAATGTTACCACCTCATTTTTCATTGAAGTTCCTTGGCTGCCTCCTAGATATAGGAATTGCAGAAAATTTGGCCATAATGAAAAGAACTGCCTTGTCAAAAGCTCCTCTAATCCCAGCTTAGTACAAGTTTGGAAGAAAAGAGCAAATTCTAACAATATCCAATCCTTAGTAGGATCAGATAAGACTCAGGAACTTGCCACTACTAAAATTCCTATTGAAGCTACTCAACAGAATGAAGCTATAACTGAACCACTTTATGTAGATTCTAATATAGTAACTTCACATCCTCCTGATGGCTGTCCAGGAAAAGAAATTGTAACTGTTACTAATCCCACTGAGCCGACCTCTTCATCTAAAGAGGATTCTTTTATTAACCAGAACTCACTCCCTAAAAAAGTTCGAGGACATCCAGCCAAGGAAAAAGCCTCTTTTGCTGGCTCAAGTAATAGATATGAACTCCTAAACTCTGTTGATGAAAACTCTACAAACCTTGAAGTGCCTCAAAGGACAAGTAGAATTGCATCCAAGGGAGTAGAAGAATTAGTCAAAGAACTCAAATTGAAAAAGAATATGAAACTGGAAAAAGTTAAAAGTTCAGTAGCTGGGGGTGCAGGTCCCTCTCGAGGCTCTCCTTTACAATGATTGTGAGCTTCTGGAACGTTAGAGGATTCAATAATCCTCTAAAGCAAGATAAGGTAATTCATAGAGCTTCTCAGAATAAAGTTGATATTTTATGTTTGCTGGAAACTAGAGTCAAAGAGGAGAAATCCATATCTATTTTTTATTCAAAATTATCAAATTGGTATGTTAGTTCGAATTACAATTATGCTGTCAATGGGAGAGTATGGATACTTTGGAAGAAAAATATAGAGTTATATATTCTTCAAGCTACTGATCAGATCATCACTGCCACTGGTTCTTACTTAGGAACCCCTTTTGTTTTATCTTCTATTTATGGAAGTAATGACAGCATCATTCGAAGACAGTTATGACAATAACTTCATATCCTTGAGAGAAACATTGGCCACCTTCCCTGGATGCTAGGTGATGATTTTAACATCACCTTACACCTAGATGAAACTTCTGACCATGAACTCTTATATCCTATTTCCACTCCAGAAATGAAAGAATTTCAAGATATTTCTCAAGAGCTAAACCTCCATGATCATCCCTACATTGGCCCTATTTTTACTTGGAGTAACAAGCAATCCAGTTCCTACCTTGCTAGGAAGTTAGACAAAGTTCTAATTAATGCTAATTGGGCTACTACTTTCCAAAATTCTGTTGTTGAATTCCTAGCATCAGGTGTCTCTAATCGCTGCATAGCAATAGCATGGTTCTCCAAAAATGCTCCTATTAACCACCCCAAACCTTTTAAGTTCTTCAATTTTTGGACCTTCCATCCTACTTTCTTGAATATAATTGAACAGTCTTGGCATCCTACTGTCTTCGGCAATCCAATTTTAATTTTGTTTCTCAAACTCAAGCGCCTTAAGACAAGTCTTAGGAGCTTCAATAGTTCATGCTATAGTGAATTAACCACCCGGGTCAAGGTTAAGAGAATTGAATTGGAACAACATCAAATTCTCTATTTAAATGGAGCTGATACTATTGACAAAGAGCTTCAGATTCAAAAAGATCTACTCAATCTTGAAGAAGCCGAGCTCATGTTCTTGAAACAAAAAGCCAAGATTCAATGGATCAAAGAATGCTCCAAATTCTTCCACTCTGTAGTAGTTGTTAAGAACAAGAAGGAAACTATCCAAATGCTCATTAATGATCAAGGATTAAGATTAGAATCCTTTGACGCTATGGCTTCTGAAGTGATTGCTTTCTATAAGAATCTAATTGGGAGTGTTGATTCTAAAGTCAAAGGCTGTGACTATAAATTCTTGAAAGACATTCTTAATTATTCTCTGCCTCCTGAGCATTCTTCTAATCTCATCAAAGATGTCACCACTGAAGAAATCAAAGAAGTTATCTTTGACCAAGGCAATGACAAAGCCCCGGGGCCAGACATATACACTCCTCTGTTCTTCAAAAAGACATTGTCCATTGTAGGAGAGGATGTAGTAGGAGCAACCAAATATTTTTTCCAGCAATCTAAAATGCTTCATGCTTTCAATGCTACCACACTTTCCCTTATCCCTAAAGTCCCAAACCCAAGCAAGATCAAAGATTTCAGGCTAATATCCTACTGTTTAGTCATTTACAAGATAATCACCAAGATTTTAGTTAAGATACTGACTTCTCTTATCCCTGGAATGGTTTCTTTAAATCAAACTGCTTTCATCAAAGGAAGAAACATTGTTGATAACACCCAACTTGCACAAGAACTAGTTAAAGGTTATGGAACAAAAGTCATCTCCCCAAGATGTTCTCTAAAAATTTACCTTCAAAAGGCATTTGACACTCTTCATTGGGGCTTCTTATATGTTGTTCTTAAAGCATTGGATCTACCTCAAAGATTCATTGACTGGATTGAAGCTTGCTTCACACAAGCTAGATTTTCAATCTCCTTCAATGGGAGTCTAATTGGTTATTTCAAGGTAGAAAGAGGTATAAGACAATATGACCCTCTTTCACCCATCCTCTTTGTTCTTTCAATGAATATTCTTTCTTCCATGCTTAATAAGGTTGTTGCAAGAGGCCTTTATAGCTATCAATCTAAATGCAAAAAAGTAGGGATCACTCATTTATCCTTTACCGATGACTTATTAATCTTCTATAAGGGTAATGTTGAGTCAGTAATTGGTGTCATTACTATCCTTGAAAGCTTCTATGAGATGTCCGGTTTGAATTTAAATACTGCTAAATGTACTTTCTTCACTGCTGAAATTTCATCCAGTAGCATCGAGTATATTAAACAAGCTACTGGGTTCACTTATGGTTACTTACCAGTTAGATACCTTGGAATCCCATTGACTACTCGTAAACTTTCTAAGAAAGACTGCGAATCTCTTATTGAAAATATTAAAGCAAGGCTCACTCTTTGGTCTGGTAAAAATCTGAGTTATGCTGGAAGACTAGAACTTATTTGAGCAGTCATGTTCAGTATTGCTAATTACTGGTGTAGGCAGCTTCCTCTTTCTCAAGAAATAATCAGTAAAATTGAATAGCTTTGCTCTAGGTTCTTCTGGAAAGGCTCTGAAAAATCTGCTATAGGTGCAAGAGTCAGCTGGGCAAAAATCTGTCAATTAAAATTCGAGGGTAGTCTTGGTCTGAAAAACCTTAAAATTTGGAATAAAGCTTGTATGATCAAACTTATAAGGAATTTGCTAGCTGGAGAGGGATCATTATGGATTGCTTAGCTCCATGCATATGTTATCAAGGACAGTGATCTGTTCCAAATGGAAAGCAGAGCAAGTTTTAGTTGGAGTTTCAACTGTATTCTTAAATTACGCAGTGAAGCAACCTCCCCTATTTCGAATGGTGCATTTTCTATTAAAGACATTTGGCTAGAGATTAGGGTGAAGGAAAACAAGGTTCCCTGGCATTCACTGATATGCTTCTCTCAATATATCCCCAAGCATAGTCTAATTGCTTGGATGTCAATACCCTGGCTGCAGTGTATGGGGATCACCACTGAAGGGAATTGTGTGCTTTACAACAATACAATGGAATCTAGGAATCACTTGTTCATCGACTGCCCCACTATTTCTTTTTTTAGGAACAAAATTATGTTACTCTGCAGCATCAAGAATGACTGCTCATCATGGGAGGATTTGCTTGTTTGGGCTTATAGTTCTTGGAAAGGAAAGTCTCTCTTATCAACTATCCTTAAGCTCGCATGGCGTGCTTCTATTTATATATTGTGGGAAGAGTGCAACCAAAATTTTTTTAAAGGATGTTCCCGAACCAATGACGACCTCCTAACTTGCATCAATGAATGTATAAGAATCAAACTTAGGGGGAAGAACATTAATAGGATTGATAGAGTTAACTTTAACCTCTGTATTTTATGGGGTTTAGATTAAAACTGATATGCTCTTTTGTATGTAGTTTGTATATAATGTCTTGTGATCTATATTTTTTGTAGCATTCTATGCTTCTTTGGGGGTAATAAAATTGATGAATTATCCAAAAAAAATTGCCCTTCTTGTCATAGGGCAAGACGCCTAGTCTAAATCATAATGCACCACCAATTCATATTTTTTGTTGGCATCTAACTAAACATCCTGCCCTAGGTTCCTCTTGATGTAACTTACCACCCTCAAGGAACAAATCAAGTGGGATTTTTTAGGCTGTTGCACAAACTAGCTTAAGTGATATGCAACAAGGTTATGTCCGGTCTTGTATGCGTGAGGTAAATAATCCTTCCAATAAGCCTTTGAAAAAAACTTGTCAGAGAGTAACTCATCTTCATTATTTAACCCTTTGCATACATCATCATAAATTATTGTAGTTAATTTTTCATTTAATTCAAGAGGCATTGTTGCTGGCTGAGCTCCCCCTAGCCTTGATTCTTCTATTAACTCAAGGGCATATTTGCGCTGATTAAGTAAATACTCTTTTTTGATCTTATAATCTCAATGCCTAAGATGTATTTTAGTTTACTCAAGTCTTTCATTTTAAAATTCTAATGCAACAAATTTTTTACTCTGCAATCAATTCTTGGTAATTTTCAGTAATAAAAAGGTCGTCTACATATATTAACATAACCACAATCTTTTTACCATTCTTTATAGTAAATAAGGAATAATCATATTTACTTTGTACATAACCAACATTCAAAAGATCATTTGTTAACTTTAAATTTCAAGGTCTAGATGTTGTTTTAATTCATAAAGTGATTTTTTTGTAGTCGATAGACCTTATACTTTCCCTAACCGTAAAAATCAGGCTGTAAATCCATGTAGATTTCTTCATATAAATCTCCTTGGAAAAAACGTTATATACATCTAGTTGGAAAAGTAACCAATAAAAAATGGAAGCCAAAACAAGTAAGCACCTAATAGTAACCAATTTTACAACATGAGAAAACATATCATAAATGATAATGTGATGTGGCATGACATGTTATTTTTTTTAATATCCAAATCATTTTTCTATTTCCTATCAGTATTTTTTAGTTAATTTTATTCAACCAATTAAATTGTTACACATGTCCCAATTAAGAGGATAAAATAAAAGATAAACTATTCTTACTCTTAGCATGAATTGAACCTGGACCTCTTACATGAAATACAAGGCATTCAATCATTGAATTAAGCTAGTCATTTATAATAATTTTATCATATTTTGTATTTAACTTGTATAATAATATCACCAAAAAATCAATATTTTTCGATGGTTAAAATTTGAATATGTAACACTTTAAATTAATGATAAAAAGTTTATCCATTCAATTATAATACGAATATTTTTTATTATATCAAACTTAATATTTACTTGTATCATTATTAAATTAAAGAGTAATTTTTCACTTTATTTGAAAATAAAAAATAATTAAATAATTATTTTTATATATTTATAAAATTTATATTAAATTATTCTTAAAAGTTTATTTATAATATTATGAAAATATTTTAAAAATGTTTATTTATTTTTTTAAAATCATCTCATTTATTTATTTGAAATAATATTAATTTTAAATTATCTATTTAATTTTAAATAATATTGTGTGGAACCAAAGTAATAGT